CAGATTGTCTATTTCTTTTTGAGTCTGTTTTGGTATGTGTCTTTCTAGGAAATTTTCATTTCATCTAAGTGATCTGATTTATTAACATGTGATAGTTCATAGTATTATTTTACAATCGTTTTCATTTCTATAGGGTTGGTAGTATATACCCTCTCATTTCTGACTCTAGATATTTGAGTCTTTTTTTCTTTATTGATTAATTACATTTGTCAGGATTGTTTTTTAACCAAAGAACCAGGATTTGATATAATTGGTTTTATCTATATTGTTTTTCACACTTCTATTTCAAAATCTCTGCTCTAATCTTTATTATTTCCTTGCTTTTAGTTTGCTCTTCCTTTACTAGTGTCTTAAGGTGGAAGGTTAGGTTATTTTCTTTTAAACAATGCTTTACCTGTATCCCACAAATTTTTGATGTTTTATTTTCATCGTAAATTATTGCAAAGTATTTTCTAGTTTCCTTCTATTTCTTCTTTGGCCCATTGTTTATTTATGAGGGTGTTGTTTATTTTCCACATATTTATGAGTTTCCCCATTTTTTATATCAATTTCTAATTTAATTTCATGGTGGTAGGAAAACACACTGTTATTTCTACTCATATACAATGTGTGTGTGTGTGTGTGTGTGTGTGTTAGTACTTTAGCATATTATCTAAGCTGGAGAATGTTCTGTGTACTTAAGGAGAATCTATATTCTGTTATTTTTTAGTGGTGTGTTTGGTAGATGTCTGTTAGGTCTAGCTAGTTTATAGTTTTGTTCAAATCTTCAATTTCCTTGATGATCTTCAGCCTGGTTGTCTATCTACTATTGAGAATGGAACACTGAAGTCTCCAACTGATATTGTTGAATTATCTATTTCTCCCATCATTTCTTTCAGTTTATGAGTCATATTTTTAGCTGTGTTGTCAGGTGAATATATTTTTATATCTTTCTAATGGATTGTTACAAAATATCCTTAAGTGACTTTTTACTTTTAAGGTCTATTTTGTCTGATATTAGTATAGCCACTCCAATTTTCTTATTTTTATTTTTTTTAAAGAGAGAGAGAGAGAGAGAGAGAGAGAGAGAGAGAGAGAGAGAGTGTTTTTTTTTTTAATATTTATTTTTTAGTTTTGGCGGACACAACATCTTTGTTTGTATGTGGTGCTGAGGATCGAACC